CATCGATGGGATCAGAAACTCCCAAAAGTTTCACCCTAGAAAAATTGGTTAAGTCTTTGACAACGGACGTACTTACGGTCCGTATTCCTTGACCGTCGATCAAGACTCCCTTCACCCACTCTCTCACAAGATCTACGAATGACCAGCACGGTCCGTAGGTTCCTACATTCCGTAGGTAGAAAATTTGCAGATAGTCAAGTGTAAATGTAGTTGGGTCAACTTCAAATGGTCATAAATCTTAGTACAAAATGAATTAGGTATCTCATAACCTACGCACATATAGATAATTGAATTATGTTTCCTTATCTACCGGCCTTGATAAAATCAGATCTCCAAGTAAAAAGTTATGCCCATTTTAGTAAAGGCTTGTGGAACAGGCCCTGACGACGAACCAACCGATAGGGCGTCGGGCAGACGACGGACCGTCAATCTTAGCCGTCGTTTGGTCCGATAGCAACCTTCCTAGGAGTCTTTTTGACCTTTCCCACTTTGTTTAAACCCCAAGTTACGTTTTTTTAACCCTAAATCATCATATTTTAGTCAGTTTAAGCTTAGAAACATAATTAAAACATATCTAAGTCAAATCATTAAATCAAAACTTAGAAAATTAGAAGCAAGAGGGGAGAAAAAGCTCACGAACCCTAGTTCAAGAATGCCACAAGCTCCAATAGTTCCAGCCCCGAAACTTAAGTATTTTTTCATAGATGTCATCACCAACTATGTGGGATTTCACTAGTGGGTTCTTTTCGCCCATTGGGTCCCTAGTTTTCAGTCAAGTTCTTGATTCTCTTATCATGATTAAACCTAGGATATCTAGAACTTTGTTAGAACTTCATGAATTTATGAAATATATGTTTCAAATGAAATTATCATGTTATTACTCAGATTATCGAATGAATTTCAGAACCCTATTTTTGTATTTCCTTTAGTTCTTGAATTACACATGCTAGGTAAGATATTTCAGACACTTTCGATATACATGGCTAGGTTATAAATGCATAATTACCAGATTAATTGTTGCATTCTCAGTTTCCATGTTTAGTTTCTGGCTATCCAGTATTTATAGAAACTCATAAATAATCAGTAAATTTACAGAATTAATTGGAGTAGCATAGTACTGAGTTGGATTAAGGTTCAGCGTACCCAAATAGTCCCAGAACTACTAGCCAAGTAGGTCATAAGTCTCCTATGTGGGCAATCAGTGTAGTGATCACGCCAGCATGCCTTTATACATTTGGCAGGGTATATTGGGTCCTCTAGATGGGGCATATGCATTGGACTCCAAATTTAGCTAAAGTGGTTTTATTATTGGTTATTTGTAGCTCCCACAGTTCAGTCAGACTCTCTACATTGACCACTTATCAGTATATTCAGATTCAGTTTCCGCATGCTATAAATTGGTCATTATATCCGGTTAGCTCAGAATTTAGTTTATCATGTAAGATTATTGTACTTGCTTTTATGCTTGTTCAGTTATGTTTTATTTCAGCTTTACTCTATCCTACATGCTCAGTACGTTTCAAGTACTGACTCATACGTGCGTTACATCTTCTCATGATGTATGTTCAGGTCCTCAGCATCCAGATCATGCATAAATCGATTTCCAATCTCTAGTTCAGTATATTCCGTGGTTAGTCCTCATTCTCCGAGGACAACATTCATGAGTGTCATATCAGTCATTAGTCATTTAGTTTCAATTTTTGCTAGATTTAGCTGGGGGCTTGTCCCATTATTTCTAGTCTAGTTTAGAGGCTTATTTCAGACATAGTTAGATTCAGCTTAGTATTGAGTTAATATTTTCATTGTATTAAAGTCATCAATTTTCATATATTTTAGCATATGGGTATTCCCCATCTTTTCATTATAAATTATGATTTAGCTTCCGCATCAGTTTATTATCTTTAGTATGCTCATGATCATGCCAGCAGGGTTAGTTTGGGATCACTTGTGGTTCTATATTCCATGTCCGCATATTGGGGGCAGCTTGGGGTGTGACAGTCATATTCGGCATGCTAACTATTTCGGTTTGGGTTCCATGAGAGGACCAATGATCTGATATAAAATCCAAAGTGTGTTATTTGTAAATTTTGATGATATTGTATGTGTTGATATGTATACATGTGATTATAATGTTGTAAAGGCTTGTTTATGTTGCACGAATGGGATAGCCACGTGATTCTACGAATATACTCTGGTCATTACTGATCCAGCATTTGCTCTTATTTTTGTTGAATACATGACAAACCTCTTTTAAAAGATCGGTGATCATCGCTTCGAATTCAATAATTATTTCGGGTTGACATCGAGTTCTCTTTTGTCTTTGTCCACCATTTCCGGACCCAGACATTTGCTATAGTTATTTGATTAGTTTATTAGTCTGGGGTGTGTCCCTTCTTGTTTAGACTTTGTTCATTGTTTAGCTATTTTGGTACATTGAGTTTCATATTCTAGTTTATTCTTCCGCATTGATTATATTTGTTAGTTTTTTGTTAGACTTTATTGGAAATCTATTTTATTTCCTTAGTGTTTGACTTAATTGCCTTAGTTATGGCTTTAGTTGTTTGGTTTGGGTTGTAGTAGTGGTTCTCCCACCGGAGTGCTAATGTGGGTGTCAATCACGATGGTCTGGGTTGTGACATTTTTAAGAGTACATTTGTGGCCATATACGAGGTTTTTATTGTTGATTGATTTATTTTTTCTTTTACTAGAAGAAGAAAATGCATTAAAAGTTTCCCAAATTTTTTGGGGGGTTTCACTTTAAGAATAACCAACAAGTTTTACATGGCACTTGGTAGGAAATGACTAGTTGTGGAAGCGCAGTCATCAATGCAAATAATATAGGAGATTTTATAAATCATACAGAATGAAGGTTGTAGTTAATGGTAAGGTTTGTATTATTTAGATCTGCAAATTATTGTTCTAATTGTAAGTGGATAATATACTTATATAGAACCATCAAGAATTTTGTGTTCATAAATACTCATTAAAATATTTGTTAGGTATAGGAGTTTCAGTATCGAATTAGTGAATTCCGGCTTCGAGTAGGCAAAACTATTCCAATAAATACTGAGAACTTAAGGGAATAGTTATGGAGGTATGCAAATGTTTTTATAGATGAGCTCTTAGTTAAAGCTTTTTATGTGGTTATGAAACGTTTTTAAGAATATAGCTACGTTTTTTTAACTCGGCATGGAGAGGGATTCAATTATTGTCTTTTTTTCATACAAAAGGATAGTCATATTAACAAATTTTAAGCATCTTTGATTATGAGCATGTTTGCCTCATAAGATGTTTGTTTCTTTTGTAGATTGAGTATCTTCCTATTTCCTCATGGGAAACAACACATCTGATCATGAGTGAATTTTTCTAGATATAGAAGGAAACTTTTGAAAAAAGATCATTACTGGGTCATTTTATGTATGTTGAACAACAATTTTCAGAGTTTGACCACTCTGATGAATACACTTCACAACACACAATTGTACAATATTCTAGCATCTTGACTCAAATGGAAGCAACATCTCAATCATCACAAGCAACAAGACATTAGAATGTTTTGTTGACATTATAAGATTTTCCCTTAGATTCAGAAATGAGTTCTTAATTAAATTCATATGTAAATTAGGAATATGCGCATCAATATTCGGCAAACTTAAAGCTACTACGATTTCATATTTAATGACAATTATTAAGAATTAATTGATGTAAATGATCATTTTTATGTAGTGGTAATATGAATCTAGACGAAACAAATGTAGCTCATGATCATTTTTGAACTCAACGATTGTACCTTTATCAAAACATATAATAGGCGCTCAAACCAAATAGTATAATATCATTTTGCATCAAACATCTAGTTCAGTAAGTGTTTCTGTATGATATAACATGTATGATATTTGCCTTCGAATGAGCTTGTATAAAGCGGTTGGTACTAATGTTGGTTGTCAATAGTGATTGTGATAACAAAGGTGGTTGGTGATTGGCAACGATAATAATGATGGTTAGTGATTGTGGATAGAGTGGTAATGAATATTATCCACACAAGATATGAAGACTTTGTTCAAGATCTTAATGATTAATTTAATGGTCAAATCTTCATGATAACAAATGTACTAATGACCGATGGTATAAACCATTCAGATGCAAACTTTTATCAAGTGTAGTACAATTATATATGAATGTACTAGCATTTGAACTACTAGAGGAATTAATATTGTTATGTCGAATTATAAATAATCAATATTTAATATGACTGTTTGTGCTTAATATGAAAAGTGACAATAGCGCTATTGACCCTACAAATGTTGCAAGAACGATCATTTCTTTTTATATGGTGATGCGCATGAGATTTTAAAATATAGGAGACAAATCAATATTGAAGAGATGAATAGAGTGTCATATGATATTTGGTGAAATGCAGTGAATAGCTTGCATTCTACAAAAGGGAAATCAAAGAATTATGTAGTTCCATGATATGTCTGAAGTCTCAAGTTCACAAAAGATTTCATATTTAGAGTGATAAAAGTTAAATTTCAAGGAAATGGTTCACGTAGCTTTTATGACATAGGTGGCTATTAATGGTGGTTGGGGAGTGTTATTGTGAATATTATTCACAAAAGAATACATCTTAATGATATTGAGACTTTGCTCACGATCTTAATGATTAAAGACCCGTTCAAAATAAATAATTTCTTCTATATTATAATAAAATCTGATAGGTAAATCGGTATCAAATAGGCTCACTTTCATCTCTCTTTAGAGGAATACAAATTAGAGAAAATCAGAAAACCCCACTTATTATAAGATGCATTCTCAAAAAATATTTAATATAGAAATCCATAGCATAGTATTTGGTAGGAAACTAGGAAATACAAGACGAATGCATAGATTGTTAGCTGATAATAATGCAAGTACAAGAGTTATCGACTGATAAGTCTTTAAGTCTGTTGTGATAAAGGGAGTTGACTTCTTTTATGCCATGATCCCAGTAGAAAAACTTCTTATTTTTTGGGAGGAGTTTGAAGTTTCTTGCTTCTGATGTGTCCTAGTTGAGTCATAGCCTGCTCCAACTCCCATTTTACCTTTCCCTCTCCTGAATTGGGAAGGTGTGACTTCCATCTAAGTTGAATGTTCTTGAGCGTCATATCTCCATTCAGCTTTTCACCGTAGCAAAGAACATCAACCTGCACAAAACGATATAAAGATGATTCAGTGGCAAAGCAGTACTGTGGAAATATTTTCAGCATATCTTCATGTAGAATATAACAAGGATCTGTTTCACTATCCTATCTATGTTTGTTTCGTCTTTCTAATTCGAGATCATCAATTGTTTCAACATATGTTGCTTTATCTATGTTTAGTAAGCATTAGTATATGTATGCCTTATTCTTGAATTTTATATAACTAGTTGAAGGAAATGCATAATTAGCTTATAAAATCATTACCTCAGTATGATCATTAAAATTTAGCTTCTGTGCAATAAACTTCTGGATTAAAGTTACAGTGGCGCTATTGTCCCTGCAAATGATCAAAAATCAGTCATTTCATTTTTCGTGTTGATGAGAATAATTTTTAACCAATGTTGTGTGTGGAAAATCTTACTTGAGATGGATATTAGGCCTGTCAAGAGGAGACAATCTAAGTCCCTTCCTGCCAAGAGTAAAGAACAAATAAATTTAATTCAGATCAATGAGGCAAGAAACTTCTGAGGGATGTGGCTCGTACTTACTTTCCTCCCTGTGGTATAAGTTTAAACCAGAAAGAGGAAAGTTCCTTCTGTTTTTCGTAAAAAGCATGGTTTTCTTGTGTTGAAGACTCTCTTTCTTCGGGACCAGTATCTTGCCTTTTCTCGCATGCTTTTCTATTCTTGCTCCTCTTTTTCTTCTTATACTCTTTTATATTTTCCACTATAATGGACTTTCCTATTTCAGCATTCGTTGTTGATACGCTTGTAGCAAGCTGAGGCATCTTCAAAAGTATAAACTCATATATTGAGGTTATGCAAAATATTTCTAACCAAGTAAAAATATCTGGCGGAATCATTTTAAAAAAACATATATTTCAAAGAACTAACAATTACCTTAGCTGCAGACATAGTTGACGCGCAAGCTGAGTTTTCTTCTGAGGACATGTGATGGAGTAGTAGAGAAATTTTGTGCCCTCCGTGTTGCCTGCATGCACTTTTAGGGTTATTTCCAAATTCCATTATTAATTTTTTCCATAGATTACTTTTGTATTTGATTAGATTAGTCTTTGTAAATAACACGAAGAGTTGCAAGAGAAACCATGTATTCATAGAACAATGAAGACAAAAGAATGAGCAAGTGTAAATGTACTATGTATATTTTTATCCAGTTATGATGTCTTGTAAGTATGTATTCTCTGTAAGTTAGAACTATTATGAGTCAAGATGTAGATTCTACTCTTTGAATTGGATATATCCATCTTTTATTCTTTTTTGGTTCTTTTGAGTGGTGAGTATCGAAAATGAATCACGTATCTTTATAAGGAAGATGATTCAAAGCTGAAGGGACTCCTCCATTCACTATATATGTCTGTAATTTCATGCATAAAGAGGTAGATTAAGAACTCATAGATCTCCTTACCGCTCCATGGGGGTCATTATTCACTCTTCTTTTACATTCCGTACTTCTAGGGGGAAAATGTTGAACAAAAATGATCTTTCTAATAGGGTTCTCATGTTTCATAATTTTTTAAATCTATACAGTATAATTATTCTGACTTAGTTGATGAGAAATTAGAAAACAATTAAGACTAGAGTAAATCTACATCACTAAAGCTTATTTTTTTGAACCAAAGAGCTTTTAGAGCTCACTCAATCGGTTTCATTGAACAGGAATATAAATAATATTGCTAGAAAGAAGAAATGTGTTGAGTGATTAACAGATTTGCACATGCGGCCATGAATACCAAGGTTTAAATCCCAACAGGAAAAAATATAAGGTGAGCCTAAGAACAAAGGAAAAATACAGGCTGAACCTACAGAATACCAAATCCATGTTGAATCTATCACTTGAGCAACAAATGAAAAACCAATTAAAAATTTGATTTAGAAAGAAAATACTTCAAACTAGTTGAATCTGTCACTTGAGCACTAATAGGTAAATTAATAAAAAAAGATTCATTCACAGAAACTCAAACCTAACCTAATTTGAATCTATCATTTGAGCAGAGAAGGAAAATCAATACAAAAATATTGATATTTTGAGAAAATTTGAAACCTAAGCTAAATTAAATTTGTAACTTTCTCAGCAAAGGAAAAATCAATTAAGAATAATTTATCAAGCAGAACTCAAATCTAACATGAATTGAATTGGTCATTTTAGTAGCAAAGGAAAAATCAATTAGAAATTGAGAAGTTCATACCAAACTTAAGTTGAATCTATCATTTGATTAACTAAAAAAATCAGTAAAAAATTAATCTATGAAAAAAAGAATCATGACTAACCTAAGTTGAATCCTTGAAAAATAATGTAAACATCAATAGTGAATAGAGCCGTCAATTCGGGTTAAGTCTGGCTCAAGTCGTGTTTTAATAAGGTTGGACTATTTAAAAATAGGGCTCTTTAGCCCAACCTGAATAAGCCCATTAGCATGTGGGTCTTGAACAATATGAGTTGGGCCACCTCATGGGCCGAATAAGAAATTAAGGAAAATGACAAAAATTTCACCTTTAAGTTCACTTATTACCATGATCCACTATTAGCTTTACAAACCCCCAAAATCCCTCATTTTCGTGCATCAAATTAATGTGTAAGTGCATCAAATTAATGAATCTCGTGCATCTGATTAATATATCTCGCACATCATATTAGTATATCATATATAAAATGTACATCAGAGTATCATGTGTAAAATGTAATGTATGTAACATAACGATTAATGCATCTCGAGCATCAGTTTAATGTATTAGAGCTTACATTATTGTATCAGTTTGAGGGAACTCTGTAATTATAAGCTTATAATGAACAAATGGTAATTTATACCTTAAAAGTATGTTATTTCCGTCCTTTCCAAAAATTACTTATAAATTAAAAGTAAAATAGAATATTAAAACGAAAGAGGAATCTAAACTTAAAGCCTTAAACCATGCATATAAATATCACAAAGTTAAAATATAAAAATTATAGTTTTTGTATAATTTTTCATTGTTTTCTTCTTGTTTACTTGGGTTTGATGTTCTTGAGCTGAGGGTCTTTTGTAAATAACTTATCGCCCTCCATGAGATAGTGATAAGGTCTACGTACACTTACCCTCCATAGACCTCACTGAATGAAGTTTCACTCGCGTGTTGATGTTGTGCCTATGATCTTTAAAAATGACAATAATTTCATATTGAAGTCATACAATTAAAACTTTACTTGGAGTCATTGCTAAAATCATGTAACTTGTGAATGTGAGGGTTTGTTAACAAGGCATAATACCATGTAATAATATCTTGTCAATATTTATGTTAACATTTTAAAATTACAATTTAAACTATAAGAAAAATATATTATTTTTAAAAAGTGGGCTAGCATGGTGCATCCTCAACCCATGTAGTTGTCGTTGGATTGATTTTTTTTGTTCGGAAAGATAATGGACCATTCCGACATGACACGAAAAGTTTTAAAGCATGTAAAGGCTACCCATAAGGGGATGGATTGACCCGCATTGACATCGCTACTAGAAAGTAGAAGAACTGACAAGAAAATGTGTATATAATGAGAGAGAGAGAGAGAGTTTGGTAAATTGGTGTTTTTGATTATATTTTATAAAGTATTAGGTCTAAGATTTCACATACTAATTTTGATGATAACAAATTGACTTAATTTAATAAAAGAACATTTACTTGTAAATTTGTTTTGGTGAATAAATATTTAATGAAGGAAAATTTTGTGAAGATCTAAACAAATATAGAATGGACGGTATTATGAGATGGCATTTCAAGAGAAGATATATATGAAAGAAAATAACTTACCCAAATCAAGATACAAAAGGAGAAGATCAATATCAATATGTTACTTAAGGAAGATCAAATAACTATGTAGTACCAAGATATGTATGAAGTCTCAAGTTAATATAATATTTCATATTAAGAGTGATAAAACTTAGATTTCAAGAAGATGGTTCAAATCAAGATACAAGATGAAATGAAGATTATCTTTAAATTCTCTTAGATTGCTTAACATAAAAGTTCATATGTGTACAAGCCTGAAAAAGAATTGAGAAAATTAATGCGAAGAAAAAATTTTATTTTTGAAAGAAGATATCATACTCAAACACTTGATTTGATTTCTCATCTTATCATCTCCCCCTTAGGTCTAAAGCTAACACTTTAAATCTATGGACATATTCAAAGATCTCTAACTGGGCTACGTTCTCTTAATGCTCTTTTTACTCTAGTGACTTAGTCATACTTCACGACCCTTATAAAAAGGTTAGGGTCTACTACTCGCATTCATTGAAACAAACATCTCAATTCCTCGCCTACTATATGTCAAGTCTGCCGAATAAAATCTCAATACCAACATCATCATCCTCATGTTTTCATTCTTTTGATCACGACACTCATCTCAAATTCAACTTTAATGTTTATTACTAAACCCGAATATCAATATGATTGCTCGCTTACTATACTATACCTCAATACTACTATGGAAATTTAGACACAATCATCCACTAGGACCTCATAAAAATTAGTCAATCCTTACATCTCAGTCTGCATTCTTGAATTACCATCACATTTCACTTCAAAACTTAAGTACTACTTACTCAATTACTGCGTATTATGTCTCAGATAACTCTATCATCTTCTAAATACCATGCAGTTCTCCTACTTAAATTCATAAGTCTAGATTAGATCTATTATTTTATGAATACTCTTTCCTTTCTATATTTTCACCATTTACCTTTGGTCATTACTTAAATAATGACACATCATCATAACCCCGTCCTAGATAAGGGATACTCTAACTTATATTGACTTGAAACACTTACTCTACCTTTTATCCTGAGCTCTTCATATTATCTTACTAGAAGCAGGACTATAATAACGTAGCTTGTTGAACATCATTTCCCTTACTTAAATTACTAAACCTCTACATACTTCCCTCTAACTCTGGCTCTTTCACTACTGCTGCTCATAATCACGTCATTCATACTATCATTTTTTGATGAAAATACTACCCAAGATCTAGACATACTTTCTCATATTGATCTTAGCTGAAACATGGCTTAAACAAAGTGTACAACTCACTTTTATCTCAAATGCACAATTCATAGGAAGGAATTACTCTGACACTAAACGCTTAACTTATTCTTGGGATTCTCTCAAGCCCCTCTGAAGTCTCATGAGTTTATCAAGACTCTTGATAAGAACAACTCATCCATTAGGATATTTACACTTTACTTTTCAATCATCTCTTGTATGATGGGTAATGAATAAATCTAAGAACGTACGAGTTAGAATAAATCTCTATGACATAGCTTTATTGCACGATCAAGAGTATTAAAGAAGGAACTTTTTTCTTAGGTACCTCATCTATAGATGTGGGGGACTTACAACCATAAATAAGATTCTACTTGACACAACTTCATAGACACCACTAGGACACTTGAACTCTATGCACTAATACAAAGTTTGTCATGACCTTATTCTACATTGTTGACGTGGACGACACTCAAGAACTATTTCTAGTCCCAAGCGTACCTCATCCTAGCTGACTACAAGCGGAAAACTAAATTAAACATGCAAAAGCCTTAAACAAACTAAAAATCAGAAAACTAATATACAAAACTTTAACTCAAATGAAAAACTCACTACAAAAAATAATATATTCAACTCGTCATAAAATAGGATACGTAAGTCCTTAAAACATCATATATCATATATATATATATATATATATAAATGAATATATTAGGCCTGCCTACGTGGCATCATCACAAACAAGAATTCCCTTTTAAATTTATTTATTTCCAAAACAAGCCTTCCCCTTTCAAGAAAAATTGTTACTTTTATAAGAGTTGCGATTTAAATGAAGATATGTGACTTTATTTAATGTTGTGACTTTTATGAAAAGTTGTGACTTTGATGAATAGTTACGACTTCTATGAAGAGTTGTGACTTTTAATAAAAGTTGCAAATTTTATGAAGAGTTGCAACTTCTATGAAGAATTGCAACTTTTATATCAAAAGTTGTA